CGCATATGCCACAGATGGGTAGTTTCTGAATCTTGATCAACTGAGGAAGATACTGAAATAGCGCCTATCACAATACTGCCCTGCAAAAAATGGAGGCATTTTCTCTGTTTTCCCTTAAGCATAGTAAGAGCACCTTTAGAAACTCTCAAAACTCCACCTTTAGCTGAAAACTTATAACCATTAGAGTCAAGAGTACCAAGAGAAATTAAATTCTTTTTCAAATCTGGAACATGCCGAACATCAGTTAAAGTTCTAACAATACCATCATGCATCTTAATTTGGATTATACCCATGCCAACAATCTTACAGGGATTGTCGTTCCCCATTAAGACAGTACCACCATCAACAGAACGGTAAGTAGAAAACCAGTCCCTCTTGGGACACATATGATAGGAACAACCAGAATCAAGAACCCATTCACTACTGGAATGACAATCACTAACAGAAACTGAAAGAACATTTTCGACATCCGAGGAACTTTCCTCAGCAACCCCAGCAACATCAAAAGAATTACTAGTGGATTTATCCTTAGACTCCTTTTTATCTTTTTTATCTTTCTTCTTATTTTTCAATTTTGGACAATTCCACTTAATGTGCCCTTTTTAGTGACAATAATAACATTCAGTATCTTTATGGAACCTAGATGTAGTTCTCGATTTGCCCCTACTACCATAACCCTTTTTCTCACTTCTTCCCCTCACAACCAGACCCTCGGCCTGTTCATCTCCATTATTTCCAGACACCTTTTTTTCTCAACTCTTGAGAGTTCAGTGAGGATTTAACATCCTCCATACTAATGGTGTCTTTTCCATAGAGCAATGTGGTAACAAAATGCTCATAGGAAAGAGGCAAAGAATACAACAAAATAAGGGCTTGATCTTCTTCATCAATTTTAATATCAGTATTTTTCAAATCCATAATAATAGAATTGAAATTATCAGCATGTTCCTTAAAAGGCATACCTTCCTTCATACGAAGGGTGTAGAGTCTTTGTTTCAGGTAAAGTCTATTGGTGAGAGACTTCGTCATGTATAGACTCTCCAATTTCAGCCACAACTTTGCCGCCTTGTCTTCATCAATAACTTCACGCAGCACCTCATCGGCAAGATTCAGGAGAATCGCACTGCGCGCCTTTTCATCTACCTCATCCTTGTCTTCATTGGACATAGTTTCTGGTAACTTGTCCTTCTCGAACAGCACCTTCTTTAGACCTTGTTGAGTCAACAGGGCCTGCATCTTGATGCGCCAAAGACTGAAACTAATCTTGCCATCAAATTTCTCAATTTCATATCTGGTCGACATCTCAAAAAAAAAAAAAACTCCCCCAAAAATTTCTAGGTGAATAGTACCGTATGTGTGAACAGTATGTGTACACAATACACAAACCAAGCTCCGATACCAGTTCGTTATAAAAAATAAGGATTGACAGGGGGTTTCTAAGAACAAAATAATGACAGGAAAAATAAAATAGCGTATACACAACAAGATAACGATTTACGTGGTTCGGCTGTGCCTACATCCACGGGGAGAAGACAAAACAATATTTCACTATGGAAATAAAGAGATACAATGCTTAAGCGACTCACACCCAAAACCCAATTACACCCTGAACTCTCTCACACTCTGCTTTGCTTTTATAGAGCAACTGAACATTCAATTTTTTGGGATGTTTAAACCATGGAGAAGCTAGGCTATTTATAGCCAAAAGTTCACACTGTTGTGAACGAAAAAATCTTGATCAGCAAGCACATGGCTTGACTACTTGGAGACCACGCACAGCTTCCTTATCAATCTACTTGGCTGCCAAGCATTGCTGATGACATGAGTGATGTATGTTGATGATGTAATGGGTGAGGTAAAGTATGATAAGGTGGCATAAATTGAGCCATAAAAACAACATACTCAATGTGAACCATTGCAACCTATTGCAGTGGGTGTATCTGGTGATGAATATACACATATAAATGATTGTGTCCAATGACGAAGAGACACATATAAATCGTTGTATCCAGTGACGAAGAGACACATATAAATGGCTATGTCCAGTGATGAAGAAACACATATAAATAGTTGTGTTCAATGATAAAGAGACACACCCAATCCGAAAAGGCACTTCTATTTCTATAAATACCCCATCGGGCTGCCATTTACAATTCGTTCATTTTTTCATTCTCTCTCCCTCTTTCAACATGAACATAACCCAAATGAGTATGGGTTCAAGCCATATAGTCAAATGGTTCGAACAATTAGACCAAACCTCTATAGCAATGAACCATATTGCAATTGGTCCGAGCCAAATGGTTCGGATCGAACCCAATTCATTTTTATATAGGAGAAATACATTTTTTTAGTCAGAAAGAGTATTACACAGAAGAGGTTCATCGTATTCACGAGTTTGTAGTGTTACTACTGGTGGATGTAAACCGTTGTATCCTAGGAGACAAGCGTCCAGAGTCCGTCAACACCATGTAGGGTTAAATTATCTTAAGGATATAGTATTCAACACTAGTCTCAGTCTAGGTTTTTTATTTATTATTATTATTTTATTGCTTTAATTTGCATATTTAATTAAATATTGAATTGCATATTTAATTAATTATTTTTAGCATATTATTAATTATTTCATGGCATATTAGTATAAGGTTAATTATATCTTAAATGTCATTTGAAGTATATATTTTTCAACACTTTTAACTTAAATGTATATATATATATATATATATATATATATATATATATATAAGGATAAATTAATAAATAAGAAATATAAACGGGGTTGGGATGGGCGGGACGGGGTGACCTTCCTCCATTCTTGTGCGAATTTTTATTAATAAAAATCATTCACAACTAATTAAATTAAATAATTCTTCAAAATCATTATAAACGGGTGGAACGAATACCCATTCTTACATGATAAATTATCATCCCTGTACATGTTACAAAACATAATTCGTGTTGACGACACCCGTGACGAATTTGCTATCACTATGTCTATTTTACTAAAATGACCTTTTGTATGAAGAGGCAATGTCTATCAAATCCAGCAAAGTGTTTCCGGGCATGCATGTGATGATGTGAAGATTGCATAAGACTCCAAATTAATGGTTGTTTGGGTATGGAAGAGACCTACAAAAACGTCTCAGCATTCAAATTTCAAGCCAAATCACGACCATCCAATTTCAAAGTCATTATTAGTGGCAAGTATTTATTTATATTTTTTAAGAAGTGTATCTCAGACTTTTTTCATAAAACAAAAAAGTCATTATTCACTGTTTGTCTTGCCTACAATCTTGTTATAAATAGTTTCATTTATATATTGTATCCACCTCTTATCATACTAACTTTGCGTTTGGTTTTATAAAATTAGAGTTTTGAAATTAAAATTAGCGAAATTTGAAAAAAAGTAATTTAAAAAATTAAATTTTTTTTTTTTTTTAATTATATCAAATTCAATTCTAAAACTTCAATTTCTTGTAGCAAACATAACCACGGTACGAAATTAAACAGAAAACACATAAACAATATCAAATACACAATAAACACATACAAATTTTTGCTTTGTTCAGTTCAAATTAAGACTATGTTCCTGGGTTATAGGGATTTCAATATGATAATCAAAACAATACCAGATACAAACAGAATGAATTAATACTCTCGCACTAATATTAATAGAGAAAATTAATAATCTCGTATTCTTAGGATTTCTTAATTTGAATTTTATTTATACTTATCTAAGTAGTTTCCAGATTGTTATTTAGTTTTCTTATTATAAAATTTGACTTATTTAGAATAGGATAATCTCAGATTCTATTTAGTTTCCTTATTGTAAAATTTGACTTACTTAGAATATGATTGTTATTTAGTTTTCTTATTGTAAAATTTGACTTACTTATAATAGAATTTCAGTTATACACTATATATATATCTCATTTTACTCAATGGAAAGGTTATGTCATAATTTTCTCATTCTTTTTTAAAGATAACATAACAAGTGCAGAAATTGTCAAAATACTCCTCAAAGAACATCCACATTATCTATCAACATTGGTTAAACTAATATACAATATTTATCAGGCTCCACATTATCCATCAACATTGGTTTAAACCAAAAATCAAGATTTAACATTTCATACTTATGAAGATATTGTCCGTTTTATCGTACTCATTGTGTTTAGAATGCATATAGGTAAGAGACATCTTATAAATGTATGTTACTTTTTCTATCATACGATGTGAGACGCCAGGTCGCGTCACAAAAAATTATTTTAAGTCATAAAGACGCCACACTGCGTCACAAAAAATTATTTTAAGTCATAAAGTAGCTACCTTGTAATATGCGTATTTTACTAAAATACCCTTTTGTATGAAAGGCCAGACTATCAAAAAGATTCAAAGCCAACAAAGTAGCCTTCAGGCATGTGCATGAAGATTGCAGAAGACTCCAAAACCTAAAGAATGGTTTTCCTCTCCCCCATGTCTCCCCTAGGAATTGTCTCCCACCAAACTCAATACTTTCTTATTTTTCGGGTATGGAAGTGAACAACTGAAATGTCTCAGCATACAAATTTCAAAACATCCAAATCATGACTCATTCAATTTCAAAGAGACAAATGCATCATAGACACATTGGACTTGTATAGCAAATTAGTTTATATGCATACATGCCCTTGTAGGCATCGCTTTACTTTTTCAAATTAGAAAAACATTATTATATAACTCAATCAATAATTGTTCAAGTGTCACTATTTTTGTATGGGAATACAACATTCTCTTAGGGATAAACTAATACCAATCAATTCCTCATTTGATTTTTAAAAGAAAATTCTATATATTTCTTATAAGGTTTTACTATAGACTTCACTCTAATGTTATCTTAAAATATACTCCTACAAAAATAGCCTTGTCCAAAAGATACTACTACCAAAAAAACACTCCCACCCCCCCCCCCCCCCCACACACAAGAAAGTCTTTTACAAGCTCAACCCTCCCATCCACCACTACTCATCCATCACCATCTCTCTACCCCCTCTCTCTCTCACACACACGCACATTAGTACCAGGATCAATTTCAAGAGGCTAGGAAAAATGGATAATAGATACAACCACCATCTTCATCATCGTCATCAAAACCTCCAAAACAACACCACATACTTGCCAATTTTGTGTTCACGCCCATTCATCAAAGATGTCCACCTCTCCAGATGGCACGACCGCTCCACCACCTCTTCCTCCGCCTCCTCCTCCTCTTCCTCCTCGAAGGACCCTTCGTCGCCGAGAGTCAGCTGTGTAGGCCAAGTCAAGACCAGAACCAACAAAACCACCATCATTGCCTACCCAGCTCCCACCAGACTCACCACCACCACCACCAAAGATAACCACAACCTCACACCATACTCCAAGCTCAAAAGGCTCTTTTCTACCAAAAATCTCTCCACCACCACCACTAGTAGTAGTAGTACCAGTGTAAGTTGTAGGAGAGAGATGATGATCATGGGTAGTCCGAGAAGGAGGTCCAAGTGTAGAGATGAAAGAAGAACTAATAATTATGTTCATCCGGTGGTGGATGTGGCGGAGATGGATCCACCATTGCCGGTGGTCAAGAGGGTGCAACAATCCGGGGAGGGCCGTGATGAAGTCAACCTTTGGAAGAGGAGGTCTGCTGCTGCTCATGGGGTGGCACTCAAAAATTTAAAGATTCTACAAATTCATATACCCAACAATCATTTTCTTCAACCAACCACTGTGTGAACATGACACACTCCAATTAATTTGAGGTAATTAATATCTTGGGGATATTGAAAATGTAAATTGTTTTGTTATGTTTCTAATTAGAAAGTAGAGTTTAGAATATTAGATAAAGGGTGAAAAAAAAAAAGGTCATGGCCTCTCTCTCTCTCTTCAAATTTAAATTTTTTTGGTGGGATAGGGATAAAAGAGGTTTAAAGTGATCATAAGAAACTTTATTTTTTGCATGCCAATCTTTATTTAAAGTTTGGAAATTAAAGGATGACCTTTTTAATATCAGATGGTTTGCCTTGTTTAGTTATTGATTGTTGTTGATCACATGGTAAATTTATGTGCAACTACCACCTTAATTAAATAGTTCCACACACTTTGCTCAGATTTGGTGAAATTGGAATTCAAAATGGAATTTTTAGTATTTAGAATCAAATGAATTTAAAATTGAATTGGATTCACGGAAATCCCAAAACATAATGGCCTCAAATCCCATAAAAATTGGTGAAATTTGATGAGATATGTAAATATGTCTAGTTGTAAGCTTTGAAATTATTAAATTTGCTCTTCTTTTTAGTAAAACATTGGATTGCAATTTTAATAAATAAGGATATAGTGCTAAAAAAATATTGCCTTTATAATTAAATTCCACCTTAATCCAAACATACAAATCAGAATTTATTACAAATTTAATCCCATTTCTTTTCCTTTTCCAATTTTAAATCCCAAAAGAAATTTGTCCAAACCAAGTGCTATAATTACATCACATACATTTGTTGAAACATCATCTTAGGTTCAAAAGCATGTTCAGGTATCATGTATTTGTAGACGGCAATGGATGGGTGTTTTTTTGTGTGTGTGTTTTGTGTATGTATATATTTGGCAATCATCGGTTGCTGGTTTAATCACATGGACAAGTGCCATGAGCTAAACAGTTTCCGAAAACAAAAATTCATAAAACTACTTGGTTGTTTGAATTTTTAAAAATAGTTTTCTGAACTAAGAAAATAAATAAAAATATTATTGTACACTCTTTTATTTCTTTAATTTATGATATTAACTATTAATGTAAATATAAATATATATATATATATATATATATATATATATATATAAATAATTGTTGGAGGTGAATTCATTTTAATTAGTATTCTTAACTTAATAAAAGTAACTTCATCTAGCATTGCCTCTGAATGATACCCACATTTGATTCATCAGAAGAGTTCTAAGGGCTCCCATTTGTGCTCCACCACCATCAGATAAATTAAGTGCATTCAATACACCAATATTTAGTATTAAGACGTGTGTATCATGCATGGATTGGGGTAGAGATATTTAATAAGATGTGTGAATTAAAAGACCCATTCATTCATAAATTGCATTCATTAGAAAAAAAAAAAAAAAAAAAAAAAAAAAAAAAAAAAAAAAAAAAAACTTTCTGTAAAAGAATTTGAATCCAATATCCTGATATTCAAATACAATTTTTTTTTCATTAATGGAGATATTATATTGAACCAAAAGATCAAGCATTTAGTACATACTTAAAGAGAGCATACCCTCCATGAAAAATCAACATGGACAGACCACTCAAAACAGTAAAGAAGCTTGGACACGCACTCTTCACTACACTTCCCTTGTTTACAACGGCAAAGAAGCTTGGACACACACTCTTCACTAATCACTTCCCTTGTTTACAATAAATCACCAAGAACAACCCCATGTTTACAATATCTTTCTCACACCACAACCACCCAAACTAGCAAGATAGAATGTTTAAGAGACAATATAATTTAGATTACATGCATACACAATGAATAGAGCTTTGACTATTGTACATGCTTTTGAAATCAAGTAACTGATGCTTGTGAGGAAATTGTGAAGTTAAAGAATGTTGAAATGAGATCCTGCTTCAGTGTTGAGAATGAGACAATTGCATAAGGCTTTTGGCCTCAAAATTCTTCTCTTGATGATGTATGGTGTTCCTTATTTTAGGTATTTTGCTGAAGCTAAAGAATTTCTCAAACAACTTATGATATCATCTAGTCTCTCAATCAATTTGAGTGTATATCAGTGTTGCCTTTGATCTTTACAGATGGAGCACTAACTAGCTCTCTATTCAAGCTTCAGGTTTAAGAGAGTGGGCTTGATCTTCGAAGTCTTAAGAAATTCTTTAAGCAAAGGCAACAATGGGGTCTCTTTATTTTTAAGTTCTCTATCTTTATCTTTAACTGGTTCTCTTTTAAATATATTCATAAAGAAAGGCAACAACAAAAAATATCATAATGCCCCTTAGCTATTAAACTCAACCAAAAACATAGTGATGCCCTCAATATTGAATTCAGATATTTAGAATCAATTTTCGAAATAAAAGATTCAACCCTAAACAAAATGGGATCTGACCAAATTAATACACTTAATACTAATGCCAAAAATGAAATTTTGATATATGACTTACAAAATAATACTAAATTCCCAAATATAAAATTATACTGTAATATTTCTATCAACAAAAAAATATATATAAACTTTAGCACAAATAAAAACAAAAACAAACTAATAAATTATCTATATACATGCATCCATAGACACACACAGATATAGATATGAAGTTATATAAAAATTGCTTACCAAATAAACAGACATTTTAGGGTAAAAAAAAATGAACTTGAACAAATAGAAAATAACAATAAGTAGAAAATCAAAAGCCAAATAAATGGTGCAAATTAATTAAAAAAGTAAAAAAAAAAAATTACCACACATGCAGCTTCAATAGAGAACCGAAAAATGAATAATCAAATACCAATATCCAAATAGATTAGGGATAGTTCAAACCTTTGATGAATATTTACTATTATTTCTTATCTAACCCTAATTAGATAAGATTAGAAACCATTCAAATTGACACAACCAAACCAAAATAGAAAGTTTGGACAATAAAATCAAAGGTATAAACAACCAAAGCCAAATAATCAACCCATAACCCATCACAACCAAATCCATCACGGCAAATAATCAACCCTTAACCAAAGCACAGAAAATCGTGAACAACAACAGAAAATACAACACAACCAAAGCAAATTATCAACCCCCAACCCAAATCGGAAGTGTGAACAACCACAAAATCAATGAATCTAATAGAGAAAAATAGAGATTTTTACCTGAATAGAGAGACAATCGCAAGAAAAGTGTCACGACCCGAATTTCTCAACCCGGTGCGTTAGTGATGAACCGGAAGTTGACCCGATAACGGACCCAAAACGCGGAAGCGAAAGAAGCCAAATGACCTCAAGAGATGTACTTCATCCCTAAGACCCCAAAATGACTCTCCATGAAGCCACAGAACTCAAATGAGCCAAGCAAATGAAGAGAGAATGCCTAACCCGAAAAGAGATAAACTAAGGGCAAAATGGTCATTTCTCACTGAAAAGGGTGCCACCGTGCACACCATTGGAAGGACAACGAAAAATGAACAAAATTAGACTCAAGAATCGTCTAATTCTGAGTCCGGGCAGAAAAGATATGAAATTCCAACACCCGATGCGAAAGTTATGAAGTAATGACTTAACACTTTCCAATATTTTCATAATAAACTTTGAAAACAAAAGTGCATAGAAAACGAGATATATGTCATTGGCCTCCGGCCTTATCTCATACATGTTAAATAAATTAAAAAGAATGCACTTACGTACACTTTACATATATGAATCAACGAATACAAGTTTAAACAAATAGGGCTACAAAGAGGCATCTTATGCTAACACTTGCATAAAATAAAAACATAGAAACTGTAAGCCATCCAATGAGCAATGGAATCTTCAAATCCTGAATCCTGTACCTGAAATATGCCCCAGTATCGTAGGGGTGAGTAACATAAAGCTACTCGTAGGAGATGAGCATGCATCGACCTAGCATTTTATAATTTTATCACCTTATAGTGAAACATGTTAAAGGGGCTCATGCCACCTAACGTCTATATCAAGATGAGACCCAGGGAGCATCCTAAGCTACCTAGATCATTTATATCATAATCACATTGTTCATGCAATTCAAACAACATGGAAACATGTTATACAAGGCAACAAGATATAAATTCTCAAAGTCTTCAACTTGAAATCCAAAATACGAAAACAACAAGTGTGGGTCATGCCCCCTAACGTCTATGTTCAAAATGAATCTATAAGGTCATTCCTAAACTACATTTGAACATCAAAACACAAATTATGATATCGATGCAATTTAACCAACAATGGAACTTCCAATACAACGCATGAAGCATGCTTTCACAAAGCTACATCTTAAGCTCAAAATAGAAAATCAAATGAGGAACAACAAGTTACGATATCATCTAGTTATCAACTTGAAATGAAATACGAAATCAAACAAAGTGGATACTCGGACGTCACGCCGGATCAGACCGACAACATAGTTACTTTAGGATTACTAGCCCATGGGTAACCTCCCTATGTGCGCACTAGACTATATAGAGGGACAATCCCCCATACTAGAACCAAGTCCTAGCCATAGCCAAACAACGACATCCCCAAGTTTCCAAAATCAACAAATTGTACAACAACGTATATATATCAACATGTATATACAAGATATCAACTATTTACCAAGCACAATCCAAATTTTAGAAACTTATACAATACATGCTCAAAATTCACAACTACTATGGCATGTAAGATGTCAAATACAAAGTGTGCAATTTCTTACACATAGCAACAATATATTCAATAGGGAAAAACATATTCTCATGAATATAAAAGTAACAACTATGTTATCCAATACTCAAAAGTGATCAAGTGAATATACATCAAATCCAAATCCATGATTTAAATATAGAAACAACTTTCAAAATGCAATTAAATTCATGGAGTAATAAAGTAGAATTTAATTAAACATAAATAGTTAAATTCTCTAAATTCCAAGTTAATCCAAGTAACCTCAATTTAATATATATTGAAAGACATGTCATGGTCATCATATATATAACATCAAATGACAAATTAAGTGATTAAAACACTTAAAACAAAATTAATCAAGCTAATTAATTAATTTCCTCTAGATTTTTAAACAATTCTAAATGCCCTCAATTTAATCTATGTTAGAGAACATGCTAAGGCCTATTTAAATACCACATTACAACTTGATTTAATGCTTGATGCAACCATGTGAATTAAACTTTTACTAAAAATAAATATTAAATAAAAGTTGTAATTATTAATCAAATGATCCAAATTTAATATATGTTAATCAACAT